TCTGCAGTTTTTAATCATGTTACTCTGTAATTTCACAATTTATTTTATTTAAAGGGATAGTTCACCCAAAAATGGAAATTGTCCTCATTTACTCACCCTCATGTTGTTCCAAACCTGAATGACTTGAACTAAAGATGAACTAAAGTCATACAAGTTTGGAATGACAGGTGAGAAAATGATGACAATTCATCTCATTTTTAGGTGAAATGATGGCAGATAAAAATGCTTAGCAATTTTGCACTTCATTCCATTCCATAAGAATGATATCCAGTCACTTCATGAGCATATTTTACTGAAAAATCACATGGTTCACAGAAATCACCTGCTTATTCCTGTGGGATGCTGTGCAAACCTTGCATGCATGTGAACAGTAATGAAGGTCAATTTGGAGGTATTCAATGCTATTGGTTGCTGGAGTTTTTTCATACCCTACTACAGATGACAGCTGCTGTTTAAGTGTGATCTTTTGCCCTTTTGTGATTTTAACTGCTTAGCAACAGCAAACTGAGGGTCAATGTTTACCACAGTGTGGTTCAAATCACAACTGGCATTGATGTATAAACATATTCAAACAATCATTTGTTTTACTATACTAAGAGATAAGGTTTACAGGTTTTTATCAAATTTAAGGATCAAGCATAAATCAAAGTCTGACTGATTAGCGCTTTGAATTAGACTACTGACAATACTGGCGAGATATCCATCAACACAATCCCTGGTGCCGGCCATTCCGAGTAACTGAAACACATCTGATACTGTCCTTCTGCAGCAAAGTTTCCAAATGTGCAGCCAATCCCACTTGAATTCACAGAAAACCAGCCGCCCTTGTCTTGTTTTCTTCGATGACAAAAGCAAATGGATTTCTGCCAAAATGTAAATTTTAAACTGAGGAGAGATCGGAATTTCGATCGCAGCAAAAACAAAATGGCTGTAGTCAAAAGGGGAAAAAAATGAAACGGCCCTCCTCCCCCTGTAGCTTGCTGCCAAAAGGTGTTCTTGTTCTGATATTTGGTTTGGAACGGCTGCCAAAAATTAGATATGTCCTTGGATATCTCCCTCTTTCCTTTGTCTCCTGTCAGGACTTGGCTGTCCTCCAGTGCAACTAGCCATAGCCAGGAACAGAGGGAGCTCCATTCACACACATAAACATCAATTTGTATTTATCCTTTGCTCAAATACTGTGGTCCTTTTGTGTAATCGCATATTCTATATACGGATACAATAGGTTTTCTGGAATCTTTTTGTGGGCAAGCGCTCCATAAGTAGATGTGTTTGTGTTTTGATAAACGTGATCAGTCTCCTCATCTGACCTGGGATCTTCCATTGGCTTTCTATGAAACGATGAAGACTTACTAACAGTTAGACTTGTGCCGGTATTCGGTAATGCGATATATCACGGTAATGAATGTGCACGATATTGTTATCGTGGGCACTTCTAAATACCGTGAATAATTATATATTACAAATCATTCCGAATTTTGAATGCATTTTAAGAATACTTTTCCCATCAACTTGTCAAAATGCACAACACCGCTGTATGCTGCGTGAAAGACGCATGTGCACTCTGATGTAAATAAGCGCGGACGAGAAGCACATGGCGGAACATGTGAGAGACGCTCTGGATGAAAGCGCACTTTCACTCTTTTTTTACATTTTAATCTGGACTACAACATGCCCTAGATATTGTTTGAAAGTGTTTTGATTCTTTATTGTTCGGTCACACTTTACATTAGGGCTTCATTAGTTAACATTAGCTTTTGCTCATTGTGAATGTTAATGCATTATCTAAGGTTAACTAATGAGGTCTTATTGTAAAGTGATACCTATTGGTCTTTATAGTTCTTTTGCACTTTAATCTGTGTAAAACTTTTAACTTTGTACATTTTTCTGTATTGCTTTATTGCATTTAAATGTTCAGTTATTTTTGTTATAAGAAAAAAGTTATTAAACCTGTTATACTGTATTATGACAGCACTTTTTTAAAACTAAATTTCAATATCGTGATAATACCGTATACCGTGATAAAAGCATTAGCAATTAATCGCAACATGAAAATTTGATACCGGCATATCCCTACTAACAGTTCCTCTTCCATTCTGAAACAACTAGCTATACAGTCATAGTCAGAACCACAGCACTCAAATCAAGATTTTATATTGTCCCAAAACTCCATAACTCTATATAGCCTCTATTCCTGACCATACACCATCAATTCAGTTCAAGTATTTCATAAGGCCTCAGTGAGGATAAAGGTTTAACCAATGCTTCTGACCAAACTCTTATGCAACCAAAGCATTGATTTTCCTCAAATTAGGCTAAATGCCAGATTTGCCTTCATATTCCTCTTTAGAACTTTTTTCTATTTGTGCTAACCGAAGCATAAATATTGAGGTCATGTCTTTATTAAGCAACAACACATGATCAATTATTATGAAAGTTGTTATAAGAGAACAGGATGGTTCACCCAAAAATGAAAATTCTGCATTCATGCACTCTCATGTCATTCCAAACCTGTAAGACTTTCTTTCTTCTGTGCATAGATATTCTGTGGACGATATTTTGAATAATGTTGGTAACCAAACAATTACTAGTGACTTCCATTGAGACACTTAGCAAAATATTTTCTTTTGTAAATTATGACAGAATTTTCATTTTTGGGTGAACAATCCATTTAAGGGAAGATATTCAAAGCATATCATTTGTCTTGCATCCTCAAATGGCATCAGTCTCCTAGAGGTTGTGTCAAAATTAAAGTTGTCATTAAATGGAAGTTGGGTAGATAGAAATTGTAGTCCATTACTGTGAGATTAATGATAAGCTAATAATTAATTAAATCATAAAAAAATGTAAAATCAAAATAAGTCATTTTAAAATAATATTAATCAAAATAAAACTTACTAAAAAATTGTAATATTTTATTTGTTTACCTGCATGTCATGTGACCATTAACCAACGTCAGAAAACCATGAACATGCAAATGTGATATTATGCACAAAATAATGTTCTTTTTAGCAACATCATATGACCCCTTTAAAATATTTATTTTAAAATCTCAGGGTACTTCAAGTAAATATATTAGGTGAAAGATGTGCTGATGACAAAAAAGTTTGGGAATGCCTCCATTATATGCAAGTAAGAAATAACTTGAATTTGTGCATTTAAATGTGTTTGAAAGACAAAAGCCTTAATAGTAATACATGGTTAAATAACCTACTGAGTGATAATTCAAATAAAACTGAATGTGTTCATCAGTGGTTGAAGCAATGTTCAAACACTTCTTAAACCTGAAATTATTTTTGTAAATCCAGTTGTCAAATGCTGGACTAGTGATTGGTCTTTGTGTGAATGTCCACAAAACTGGAAGACTTTCTAAGTGTATAAGTGGTAGGCTATTTTAGAAAGGAACATTTCAAATATGGAAAAGAGGAATTCGGGAGAATCAATAAATTATTAATAATGTATTGCCATTGTGTGAATAATATGTAATCATGTAATCAATAAAAAAAGCAACTGTAGTTTGATTACAAGTATTTTAAAATGTAATTTAATCTAATTACACGTACTTCATTTTTGGAATCTGATTACCCGGCTCTGGAAGTTGTGATAGTCGTTTTTCTATTGTGACATATATGACAAAAAGCTTCTTGAAAGAGAAAAAAAAATGATTTCATGGTGGCTTTAAAGGCACAATATGTAATTTTTTGCCACTAGAGGGTGCATATTCAAAACAAACAAAGAAACAAAGGCGTAGTTTGATGACGCCGTGACTGAGTGTGGAATCATGGGAGTTGTCGTCTTCATCACCACAGCCGAAGCAATCCAATGGGACTTGGGCAGAAATCATGTTCATGGATGAGTTAATGATTTATTAGCGTAGTAGAATGAAGCAGGGTGAGGCTGGAAGCCGTCGAGGCGAAACAAGGCCGCTGAATGAGCGTGACACACGGCTCGAAAGCAGCGGAGCTTTTATTATGCCACAGTCGACCGCATCCGCTCCTTCCGGTCGTGCGTATGTGGGACTGGATATTTTAATAAAAAAATCTTACATATTGTGCCTTTAACGTCGTAGTATGAAGCAGAGTGAGGCGGAAAGCCGTCAAAGCAAAACGAGGTTGCTGAACGAGCGCGACACACGGCTCGAAAGCAGCAGATTTGGGATAATGTAAGTACACAAGTCAGCAAAATATATAAAACTGTTCTAGTGGTTTTTAGATATATTAATAAAAAAAATCTTACATATTGTGCCTTTAAGTTTCCCTAAAGAACATTCTGTTTCAATCCAAAGATGCTGAAAACCACTCAGATCACTCATAACTCCTCCCCTTTCTGCAATTAGGCACAGATTTCAGCCAATCAAATGAGGGGCATGATACTAATTTAAGATCTGCTATTTATGGAGAATATTAATAATTACTTAAATCCCTCTTAAATTCTCGTTCTGAATAATATCTGATCTTGGTAAATGTCAGCAAAGATTAATTAAACAATGACAGATCAGATAGGAAACCAAACACTTAAGTTAACAGTTTCATTATTGCTACCCATCACAGAAAAATGTGGATGTGTCTCAAAACCTAGTGAGACTCCTACTTGACAGCATTTATGGGCAGCACAGTGCGTTCGATTGCCAACAAACACTGTCTAGGTCAGGGGTAGGCAAGTTTGGTCAGGGTGAGTTAGATAAACATTCACCTTTTGTAGTCTATGAAACTGTTACTCGTCAATGATTGCCATAAGTAATGATGGATATGTAGATTTTGCTGATTTAGGACAAATTAAACAAATATTCTAGAGTATTCCGTATAAATAAGGCAGACTGGCGACAGTCCACTTTTTTTTTCTTGTGGTTAAAATGGATCTCTGGAGAGATTTTTTTTTAGTGCAATGCAATGCAAAACAACCCGATCGGTTTACTCATTTCAATTAAATTATAAATGGTAATATCATAAAAATGGCATGTTGAAATGGTGGTTAAAGGAGTGCAGAGGTAATAAACTCACCCATTTCTGAAGCTCCTGCGGCTGCTGCTGCTGACGTCTAAGAGAGTAAATCCATCCACTAGATTATGTCAAGCACTTTACAATCCTTCAAACTCAAGCAAGCGGCGTTTTTATCGCTGCAAAAATGGCGTCAGTCGCAATCTCGGGTGAGATTTGTTTTTAGAAAGGAAAAACATAGATGAAGAGCGGTCGACTGGCGATCGATCAGTGGAGTGCGTCTGCAGATTCAGATGAAATGTGGACTGAAGTAGGAATATGGTGTGTACAGTCACAGCGCTGCGTTGCTTCCCTCTCAAATCATCAGACTCGGGGGTGGATCGAGCCTTCCCACTGCGGAGAAAACATATCTATCTACTCTTACGATCCTTAATAATATCCAAAGTCCTGCTTTAGATGACACACCGGAGCCGAGCGGATATGCAGACTCTGGCGTTCCCGTTTCTGGACGTGTTTGATCGGACTTGAGCGAGTGTGATGTGACTCTTGCTGGACTCCAGCAGTAGTTTTTGATAATGATCGGTGTGCTCAGCTCTCAGCCAAATGCTCTGAGTCTGACTGGCCCTGCTGATTGCTCTCCAGCGCCCTCTACCTGTAGCGCGCAACACTCGCGTTTGTCTGTCTGTTTGTTTGTTTTTGTTTGTTTGTTTATAAAACATTTTTGTCTATTCATCTATTTTTCCTTGTAGTGCAAAATTATTATTTATGTATGTATGTGTTTGTTTGTGTGTATCACACAAGTTTATTTGTTAATTATTATTTATTCATTATTTTTCTAATTATTAATTGTTTGCTTGTAGGTCAAAATATGTCTATTTATTTATTTGTCTGTTTGCTTGTAGTGCAAAATATTTGTTTATTTGTAGTGCAAAAAGTGTATTAATTATTAATTTTTTTCTGTTTGCTCAAAATATGTATATTTCGTTTTATCTGTTTGCTTGTAGTGCAAAATATTTGTTTGTTTTTATCTGTTTGCTTGTAGTGCAAAATATTTGTTTATTTGTAGTGCAAAAAGTTTATTAATTATTTTTTTCTGTTTGCTCAAAATATGTACATTTCGTTTTATCTGTTTGCTTGTAGTGCAAAATATTTGTTTGTTTTTATCTGTTTGCTTGTAGTGCAAAATATTTGTTTGTTTTCATCTGTTTGCTTGTAGTGCAAAATATGTGTTTGTTTTTATCTGTTTGCTTGTAGTGCAAAATATTTATTTAGTCATTTTTATTTACTTATTTTTATGATTTATTTATTTATTTATTTGTAGTGGGAAAATGTTTGTTTGTTTGTTTGTTTGTTTGTTTGTTTAACAAGCATAATATGTCCTGTTTTTTATGTAGGCTACATTTTTCTGTTAAGGCAGTATTATACATTTACTATACTATCACATAAAACTGCATTTGTCCTTGACGTTTTCGTTGCTGGTTTCTTTGTGTTTAAGCAAAGACTTCATTGATTTTCAATACCCATCCATTTAGCACATTATAGCTTGTTAATCTTTTCAGTCAGTCAGCAGATACACTATATATCATGCAGTCCAAATCCATTATTATGGATAAAGCAGCTCGCATACAACCTTTTTATTTTTATTCTTCTCTCTCAAAGTGACTATACTACTATCACTCTGGCAGACTGAAATAGTTTTGTTTGGCATGGTTTGGGTCACGCTTGCCAACTCACATTTTAAAAAAAACATAAATAGTAGTAAATAGTGACTACGTTTGATTTAAAGAAAGCTTATTTAATAGTGAACTGTCATCACTCATCCCCCACATTATTCACCTCGTCTGGCCTTTAGACAGGATGGGTGTTTTTTTTTATCTGAGCTGTGTATTGATTGAGAGAATATATCATGCAGTCCAAATCCATTATTATGGATAAAGCAGCTCGCATACAACCTTTTTATTTTTATTCTTCTCTCTCAAAGTGACTATACTACTATCACTCTGGCAGACTGAAATAGTTTTGTTTGGCATGGTTTGGGTCACGCTTGCCAACTCACATTTAAAAAAAAACATAAATAGTAGTAAATAGTGACTACGTTTGATTTAAAGAAAGCATATTTAATAGTGAACTGTCATCACTCATCCCCCACATTATTCACCTCGTCTGGCCTTTAGACAGGATGGGTGTTTTTTTTTATCTGAGCTGTGTATTGATTGAGAGAGAATGTAATGACACTCTGAGACCTCTTCAATATAGAGGTCAGCTGCTGCTCCCCTGACGGCCAATCAGTGTTTCGACTGTGTTAGTAAATAGTTCTCATTGGTCAACCTTGAAAATCAATGGCACTGCCGATTATTCAAAGAGGTTCAATGATTTTTCTAGTGGAAAAAAAGTTGCCATGGATACCACATGTAAAGACTTTAGAGGTTTGTGGGATGTGCATGGACTACTGAGTTTAATAAAGGATCATGGAAATTATATTGTGCACCTAGATATTTATATGCCTGTCTCATGCCTGGATCATTTATAAAGAATATATCATTTAAAGACAGAAAGTGAGAGCGATTGTTGAGTTACAGTCCTCAGAACTGTGAAGAGGCCGATAGGTGAGAGGTCTTGATGTGCTGTTTGTTTCTCACACTAATATGTGGTTTTAGTGTAAGAAGCGCAGCACTTGAGCAGACATGTTACATGCAGAGTCTCAAGAAGCAACGGCTGTTGGTTGCAGCATACATTTCCAGGATTGTGGCTTACATTGCTGAAATGTTGTAGTATAACTCAATATTTGAAAGACGTAAAGCTTTATGAGATTGTGAGCAATTGACCAGCTCCTTTATGGGTTTGAGAATCACATATGTTTAACCTATTTACGAGTTTCATCATTCTAAGCATATTTCTTAGACAGCTTGGGCGTGAACCAGTTTACAAAATGTCATTTTCAGAAAAGATTTGTTAGCTATGGTTTCGCTAACTACATTTGAAATGCAAAAATACCTGTCAATATCACCCCATGACAAAACGCTCCAAAAAGCTTTTAAAGGTTTCATTTTGCAGTTTCACAATTATTTTGCTCACCTGTTCTTCAGAATGACTGTTCAGACCGAGGATGATGATCTCGTTCTCCTATTTACTCAACATCACAGTTTCTGCCTGTTCACTATTAAATCTAGAAGTTGTGAAATGAACAATCATATGCTCCACAGAGAAGATGATCACTGAAACGTAAAGCTATGTTGACAATGGGCCCACAAGTGTTCAAATCTTTCTGTCAAACAAAACCGATTGAAAAAAACAATCAAGATTGAAGAATCATGTTCATACAGAAGAACACCCTTAGTGTTGTAACCCTAGCAAAACATACAAGCAAATAATAGATAGGATAAAAGAAAGATAGAAAACATAAATGAATAAGAGAAAGATAAAATTGAAATTGATTTTGTTCACTGCTGCTTTCAATAAATGTGTAAACTTAAATAAATGTTTGCAAAAACTTATTTGATTCCAATGAAATTTTTTGTTTTGTTACAGATATTTTGCTTTATATTCAGAGCACTGACTAAATCAAACAAATGCGCTGCATCTCCCATTTCAAATGAGGCCAGTCTGATACAACTGATACAAAATGAGTCACTGGTGTTTCTCAAGCAAATTACTGGCTATAAGATTTACTTCTCACCAATCAAAAACTCACTTCTTCACAATATTGGATGCCATTTTCATTATAAACCCCCAGAAGTCATTCTGTAATTTTGGGACATTGGGTTCAGCAGCAGTTAAGAATTTATCTGATGGGGTTAGTGCACAAAACCACAAATGTGTTTATCAAAGTCAGAGGAAGTGGGCGTCTTCATAAGAACAGAGCTTGTGCTAAACCACTTCCTGTTGAGATGGGAGACTTCAGATGGTGATAGAAGGCGTACAGTAAACAAGTCAAACAAAAAGGTATCTAGGGGGGATTATGTTTTAAAAGAACAACCGTGTGATAATTACACCTTTGTTAAAC